TACAAAAATATTTTATATATATATATATATATATATATATAAAACATTTTTGTCCCCCTCACTTCTGAAATGATGGCTACGCCCCTGTAATCAAACAACAAAAGACAAGGAAATTACTCACTGCTCTTGATTAAATAGCTTTTGTAACTTTAATAAGGATTAATCTTTAATTTATACAGTAAAATGTGCAATGTTATTTTACATTTGATTTTTTTATTCAATTTCTGTACCTAAAAACTGTTAGACCTACCTAAAAATTCTGAAAAGCACTGTTTATTTTATTTGTATCTTTGCTCGGTTGTATTAATTTGTTCTGTTGCTTGTAATTAGATTATTTGTTCTTGTTTTCTTTATTTTTATTTGACAATATAGTCCTTTTTTCAACCTGTTTTGTACACATTGTCATAATAATTATAATTCAAATGTATTTTGTTTTATTGACCACAATATTATTGTTGATAACTGTTGAGAGTGGGGCACTTTTATCTAATTTTGGAAAAAGGGCAGGGGCTTGAGCCTCCAAAGCACCCCCTCTGCATGTGCCTGGACAAAAGTAAACATAGATGAATATAACTTTTCTCAGGTATTAAAATAGAAGTGAAGATTTTTTCCTTTGTTTACTGTAATAACGCTCAGATGTAAATGATTTTGTGGGAAGGGTCAAAGTCTCCCAGACTCCTGCAAAACTGATATAAGCTGAACCTTCAGTCAGTGCGTGTGTCCAGTGACTAAAAGAGCTGCAGTGTAACCTATCACTGTTTTACTGTGGTAATGGAGATGTTACTGTATGGACTCCTGGTAATTATTTCATGTGAGAAACTCCTATTTGTTCTGGATTATTGTTGTAATTTAATTGTTCTAAATCATCTAACATTGTTTGTTCCATGTTTTTCAGCTGTTAGGGGTCAGTCTTTGACCTCCTCAGATTCTGTGGTGAAAAAGCCTGGAGAATCAGTGACTCTGTCCTGCACTGGATCTGGATTCTCAGTAGGCAGCTCTTATATGCACTGGATCCGTCAGAAACCAGGGAAAGGACTGGAGTGGATTGGGCGTATTGACGATGGTACTGGCACTGTTTTTGCTCAGTCTCTACAGGGCCAGTTCTCCATCACCAAAGACAGCAATAAAAACATGCTGTATTTAGAGGTGAAAAGCCTGAAGCCTGAAGACACAGCTGTTTATTACTGTGCACGACAGTCACAGTAAGACAAAAGACAGCAGGGCTGCACAAAAACTATTCATGTGATCTTTTAGGGCCCAAGAACATGTTTCAGCACACTTCACTGTTTGTTCATTCTTGTTAATTCTCTGAGTGTTTTAATAATTGATGTAAACTTGAATAAATCAAGAAAACTTTTACATATACATCTTTTTTTTTCCATAACAGTGTAGGGATATGTTGAATCAAATGTTTGAATTCATGCTAGAATAAAAACATTCACAAATTACAATTCATTTGAGCTCTATAACATTCCACTGTGTGAACCTTTACAATCAGCAAGTTAAATGTTCAGCACATTATAAAATATCTTTGAATGATGATCTTTCAAACAGGTTTTCAGTCCAGTGCAGAATCAGTGATGATAGTAGTAAAGAAGCATCTTTGTTCTACATGGTTGTGTGTATATTATCTCCTGTGTTTCCCTGTATCTTTTAAAGAGTGTTATTAAAGACTGTTAGTTTAATTATCTCCTTCATCGAGCACATCATTACAGCCACTCATCATAAAAGTTTATCATTTGCACGTCTTTTTAAGTCTTTTTAAACCATTCGGTACTTTTGTGTGCTCCAAACTAGTTTTCTGTGCGCTCACGGTCACATCCAAAGCGCGCGTACATGAAGCCGCGCAAACACCTCCAGAAAAAGTCATTGTTTTCATTGTTTCTGACTCAACCTTGCATTTTAATAAATAATGTTACATAAAGACAATTAAACGGTCAGTATAAATGAACAAATTACTAGCAATAGCACAAGGATACAAATGAAACAAACTGTGTTTTAACTTTTTCAGGCTAGCCTAAAACTAACAGTAGCTGCTACTGTTCAGGAAATACTATGAATGATGTATAAAGTCATAGATATAGATTATATTTATATATTAATCCATATTAAATATGAAAAAGTTATTTAGTCAA